ACACACACACACACACACACACACACACACACACACACACACACACAGACTCACAGACTCACTGACCTCTGCGATGAAGACGACGATGACGCAGTCCTCTTTCTCGGTGGGACTGAGCTCTGACATCAGAGAGTTGAGTGTGTCGGTCAGGTACGAGTGGACCTCCCTCTTCACACTGGGAACCCCCATCACTATGGAGACTACACACACACACACACACACACACACACACACACACACACACACACACACACGACTATCTTATATTCTGTTGTGTTTGTTCTCTCTGGTTTTATCTGTATTATGCCCTCTGTGTAAAGCAGGCCTGTCAGGAAATGGTTTACTAAGCAGAAAAAAATGTTTCATAAATAAATTAGACTTGACACACACACGCACGCACACACACACACACACACACACACACACACACACACACACACACACGCACACACACAGTGACCTTGGTCCAGTCTGGCTGGTTGTAGCTGTTTGTTTAACTCTCCAAGGGATGTGGAGTGTATCAGGGGGCCTCAGTGAGCTGGTTCCCCAGGGAAGGTGCACTGTGCCTGGGTTGCTGATTGTGTTAGGAGCCCCAGGCCAGGAGTGGAGCGGTGTGCGTGTTTGCTTTTAATACATTAAATAAATAAGTTCATGATGTTAATTAATCGAATCTTTTGTCATTGAAAGACTCTGTTTTTACCTCCGGTGCGTCCCTGTCCCAGGTGCACGGCCGGCTGCAGGCTGTCCTCTCTGTTCAGCAGGTGAGGAAGATGATGGAAGATGGAAGGAAGCTGCAGGACGTTTTTACTGTTGCTCACATTCCACAGCTTCAGCCTCGTCTCCTCTGAAAACAGGGGAAAATAGACCATGTTAGACGAAGTTAGGCAGGGCTGTCAGACCATGCGAGACTATCTAGACCAGATAAGACCAGGTTAGACCACATTAGACCAGGTGAGTCCAGGTTAGGCAGGGCCGTCAGACCATGTGAGACTATCTAGACCGGATAAGACCAGGTAAAACAAATTTAGACTAGATTAGACCAGGTAAGCAGGTGGAACCATTTTAGACTATTTCAGACCGGGTTAGAACAGGTTAGGCAGGGCCATTAGACCCGGTAAGACCAATTTAGACTAGATGAGATCTAACTTTTAGCTCACTATGTCAACCCTTTATCCACTGCTTTAACCTAATTTTAAGTTCACTATTTCAACAGTTTATGCACTAACTTTTTGTATTCTTGTACCATATTCTTCCTTTGTTTCTGAACATCGATAATGACGGTTGCATTTATGCTGTTTCTGTTATTTCCTCCCATACTTGGTTTGGTGTCGCTGTTGCATTCGACATTTTTTATCTTCTGTGAGGAGCCTTACTTCACCCATAATGCTATTTTAGTCAGTCTCACATTAGTCACTGATAGGGAAGCTTCATGCAACAGGTAACTTTAAGTGTCTATAGTAAATCTTTAGAGTTGTATTCAAGACAAATGAAATTAGTTTAGACCAGTTTAGATTATACCAGAGTGGACCAGGGCTAGACTAGATTCTACCAGGTTTATCCTGGTAAACAAAGCCCAATAATCTGCTGTTCACTGACCGGAGAGGCTGCTCCAGGTGCGGTTGATGTCTCTGAGCGCCTGTTTCTCAGCGATGGCCCTCTTGATCTCCTCCAGGACCAGATTCAGCTCTTTGGAGCGCCGCAGGTTCTCCTGCTCGGCCGAGTGGAGGCGCTCCCTCAACGCCAGGAACTCCCTCTGGTAGATATCCACCACATCTCCTGCAGAGGGACGAGGTTATGTCGGGTTTACTACAGCTTTAGCTGCAGTCTTTAGAACAAGGTGTCGCAAAGAAAACAGCAAATGTTCCTAAACTTACAATACAACCAATCAAATCACATTCTCCTGTCTAAAAATAGAACGTTCAAGAACTCAGAAAGACTTAAGAATACTTTTTTTCTACACAAAAACTTCACAACTTTTAAGTTATTAGTGAAAAACAAAGAAAAGAAAATAAACTAGACCAATTCAAACCTGGTGTAGCCTGAACGTATCTAACAAGTATCACAACCTGATATCTCTTCTTCCTCTGAGCCATAGACCTCCATTAGAAACACCTCAATGAGCCTGCTGCTGTTCCTTCACCCCCCCCCCCCCACACACACACACACACACTGTAGTTTATCTACACTCAATCCCACACACACCGTCCTGCTGCAACAAAATGAAAATAGTCCCAACGAATGCACGATTTCCTCCTGTTTGTTTGATGAAAACTACAGTGAGCTGTTGTTTTAGGGAATTACTGAACCTTTTTAAAACTTGAAGCTATATTTACTAATATATTTACTCGTTAGCAAAAGAGAAGTGGGTAAAGTGTGTTCGATAAAAACTAAATCAACCAGCTGTTTCCAGGAACTACTGAGCCTTTTTAAAGATTGAGGTTATATATTTGTGTTTTAAAATATCTAAAGATTGTTTTTTAACCAGAAGCTGACAGACGACGGCATCCAGAACCAGAATAAAAATAGTCTCTTCACTTCACAGGACGTGTTTTCATATCGTCTGCATGTTTTCATGAATCTCTTTTCATTTTAATACTGAAGCTTTCTGATTGATTACGGTGTAATCAGAGAAGACAGATGTGAACCGCTACCGGACATTCAATAAGAGCATGTTTCTTTTGATTTATCATTCCATATTTTCCACACGACTGCAACATTATGTGACTGATGGAAGAAGAGAGACACACTTAAGCTTCACAGGATTAACAAGGGAGTGTATCGGAGTGGACAGGTAAAAAAAAGAAGACATAATCCGAGTAAAAACATGAAAATAAAATGCTAAATCCTTCATTTGCTGCAGCAAACACCCTCCATCATCCCTCCATCATCCCTCCATCATCCCTCTCCGGGTTAATGCTATGTGAAGGTAAATCTGCAGTAATCCCTGTTAGACCCACACGCAGCCGTTCTCCTTTCACTGTATTCAGACCGCTGACTTTAACATCACCACTGTTTAGAAAATAAAATGACTCAGTGAGTCCGAGCAGAGGAACGATGAGCTTTAATGATTTTAATTTGAGGAAAACTGCTTCATTGTGTTATTTATTGTAAATACGAACAATGAAAAAGTGTAACTCCCGCGTTCTCACTACAGTCTGAACTTACACCACCAGATACTGATCACATCAGACGTTCAGTCACACAAAGATGATCTTAATTCTTAATTGATTTAATCTTGACTTTGACATTTGACGTTGCAATAAACTGGAAAACAACATTTGTGACATAAGAAGATAAAGATTAATTTCTTTGAAAAAACAAAATATTTTATGAAAGTAAAGAAAGACAGAATATATATATATATATATATATATATATATATATTAAAAACAAACAAATTAAGGCCATTTCATTAGCGTTACTTTCATGTACTTGTTCACTACCTCTTGACTTCAATGTTATTGAATTTTTCCTTTTATTTCCCTCCAGTCGTGGACATTTCTGTTTCAAAGCACAAATCCTTAAAATATCAAGTGAATATAGGCTATACCTCTTGCAGATCATTTCTGTTTGAATTCTAAGTAATAAAATGTGTTTTTAAAAATGTTATGCGCTTAATGTTGATCGTCAATTCTGTTATTTTGCTTTATGTTGTATCTGTTTCATTTGCTGGTTTAAATTTGGGAGCAATTTCTCGCTCGTTGTTTAAAATACCGTCTTTGTCTCACTCGTTTTGTGCTCTATGTACTTCCTGGTTCACGATTACGTGGATTACATAAGAATTGATTTACAGCCCATAATACTTCGTAGGTATAGCTACAGGCGCTGGATAAGAACAGCCTGGACCGGTAGTTGTTGAGATATCTTCTGCTTTTCCTGAAATATAAAATCCGTCTTGTGTTTCTTTCTCTGATGACGGGAAAGTAAAAAAAAAAACACTTTAATTTTGCTGTAATTATTCCTCTGAACCCTCGTTAATGGAACACAATAGTCACATCTGTTTGGCTGATAGCTGAAGTGAGTTTCTGAGCACACACACACACACACACACACACACACTAATGAGTTTTTAATGATGCTCCTGCCCAGTTATTTATCTGCTCTGATGAAATAATCTCCTTCCTGCAGCAGTCGGTCTGTTTCTGCAGACTGAAGGTAAACTGCTTTCTGTGTCTCCTCAATGATTCGTGTCTCTGCTGCAGCTTCACCTGCTGCAGCTTCACCTGCTGCAGCTTCACCTGCTGCAGCTTCACCTGCTGACAACAACCTACTTCCTGTTGTAGTTACAACACCTGTCTCACCTCACGCAGCATGTGTGTGTGTGTCGGTGTCTGTAAGGACTTTTAAACTGTGTCGAAGAGGTTTTTATCTTTCAGGTTAAAACAGGAAGAAGCAAACACAAATGGATTTACATGTTTTCACTGAGCCGACACACAGTAAACAGTGTGTGTGTGTGTGTGTGTGTGTGTGTGTGTGTGTGTGTGTGTGTGTGTGTGCGAGAGAGATAACAACACTCTCTTGTTTCAAAGCCGGGCTCTTTCCAGGATTACATCTTCATATATATTCACGTTTTCACCTTTGACCCCCAAGAGAGAATGATGTCATACATGTGTGTGTGTTCACTAATTCAGTAATTAATCAAAGACAATCACTTAAATAACGGGGGGGAAAGTAAAGCCATCGTGTGAGGTCAGAGGTCACCAGTGCGCAGACACACACAAAGAGGTTGGCTTAGATCAATAGCTGAATGTAGCCGGATAAACAACACTAATACACTGTAATCCTGCACTGTAATACCACAACACACTCACACACACACACACACACACACGTGTGTGTGTGTGTGTGTGTGTGTGTGTGTGTGTGTGAGTGTAATAATATAATAAGCCACCAATCACAGGGTGGAGACCACCCAGGTAATGAGATTACCCCGCATGCTCTCTATCTCTCTGTGTAACAATGACACAAACACACACACTCACACACACACACACACACACACACACACACACACACTTGTACGGGATGAGTCACCGTTAATGGGCTTCTGGTTTTTCAGCTCACAGGAAGGAGGGTTTTTGAGGTGTGAATGAGACCTTTAGATGTCTCACAGTTTTGATTATTACTGTGATATTGATTGATTGGTTGATTGACAGTTATCATCATCAGACACCTGCAGCTCTCCATCTCAGTCAATGAAACCAATGCTGGAATGTTACCAGGAACATTTACTCACTATTGAACATAAATACAATTGAGGTACTTTCCCTTTACTCAAGTATTTATATTTTCTAAGACAACTAAACTACTTAGTTAGGTTTGGATTAAAATAACTATGGAAGTGCTGTTACTGAGTATTTTCCCATTTAATTAAGAACTTCATTGGAAACAACGGTATAAGATTTTGTTACAATATGATTCCATTGAAAGACGATAAAATATCACATTGCTCAGCCGTAGCCGCTCATCACTGTGACTCCTAACCACAGTCCAACGTTAAATAAACCTGAACCACAGGGGGCGGAGCTACGCAACACTATACAACACATAAGAGTGGGATGGTAGGATCCACGTGTTAGCGGTAAAGAGACTCACTCATCACGAAATCTGGCTAAACCTCCGACCCTCAGGCTGCTTTACATTCTCCTCCATGAGGCCAAAACAACCTTCTCGTATAGCAGAAACAAGAATTATGAACCTAACAGATGTTTACAGTTGTGTCTGTAGGTTTGAGTCCTGTGTTTAGTTTGTATCCGTCAGTGTCGTGACTTTTTAAATCACATTTACAGACTTTACTGGAGTTCAAAAGCTAACTTCTCCGTCCGATCCCAAAGCAAAGAGCTTTAATCCAGCTGCTTATGGTTTTATAATCCATCAAAAACATTTACACTTTAATTCAAAATATTGCTACGTGAGCTAAATCCTCAGAGTCTAACTGACTTTCTGAACCTCTAGATTTGTGCTTCCTCAGTAGATTTGTTTAAAATAAACTGCGTTAATTTTTCTGCTGTTACGGGATTGTGATGTGTGTGTTAAAAATATACATCTTATGCTCATGTTGTGTGTTTGTTAGTAGCTTCTGCTTTTCTGTGATATTTCTGGATGAAATGGAGAACATAGAGGCGAACAGCTGGAGATAATAAACAGGTGATTTCAGTCTGGCAGTGAAACAGGAAGTCAATTACCCCCCCCCTCTTCCTTCCTTCACACACACACACACACACACACACACACACACACACACACACACACACACAGGTATGTGAGGAGCGAGAACACACCTGGCAAGTCAAGGCTTGAGCTCCAATAATAATGACATCATCCCCATTTCAGCATGTGTGTGTTTAGGGGAGAGAATAACTCGGAACCAGTCCATTTCCTAGTGTGGTCACGGAAAAAACTGTTTGACCAGTGAGCTTACAGGATGCTGACTGGTGAAAGTCACCGAAACAAACATGAGTTAAACTGACCTCAAGCCCACTGTACAAAATGGAGGAGGATTTAGACACATTCAAACTTTGGTGTTTTGGTCAGCGGACCAAAAAAGAAGAGAGCTAATCTCGTCTCTCACAGCTGTTTCTGCAAAATGGGTCAAAACAAAGAGGAAGTTGAACTTCTTTGGGTTTTTCATATCATGCCATCTCTTTCACTCCACTTCCAGATTCTTTCTATGTTGTTGCTTTGACAAAATAAAAAGCAAAATGACAAACAATCTGAAAAAACCCCATGTGTTTTCTGCTGCTTGTCTGGGTTCAGGTTGTGGTGCCAGTAGGATA